AGCGCCTATGTAGTGTGAATAGAGTCACAAACGCATCAAACGCACAGTGTCTGTCAGCGTAGCATTCCATTCGCACATACATAAAGCGGTGACGTGACGTGACGTGACGTGACGTGATGTCAAGCGTCTGCCAGAGGTTTATATAAGGAGATGGTAATCAATCGGGATGCACCCCAGCTGTGTGCGTAGACAAACCAGTTACTAATTACTGGAATGCAACACAGCTGAGGTGCAGAGCCCATGGAGAAAACAAAGAGACAAAAACGGAGGAGAGGCAGCGGCCGCCGAGCGGCCCTGACAGAGGATGTATTTTCATTTTACCATAATTGTATATGAAAAGTATTGATGAGTCAAACCGGTGCAAGGCAGCTTTATTTGTATATAACATATTTCACACAGAGGCAATTCAAAGAGCTTTGCACAGGCAAAGATAAACAGTAACAGCATTAAAACAGGCTAACATCACTTAAGACAAAATGAATGTAAAACATTGTTAAAGGGAGATAAATTATATGAAAATAGATACATAGACAAAATGAAGAAATACTGAAACATGAGAATCTAACAGTTGCATTGCAGTCATACTGTAGGATTTAAGTTGTCCTGAATGCAACAGATGAAATAAAAGTGCAACACAGAAACTAGTCAATTACTGTTTCAGGAAACTGGCAGAGTTTTCAAATGAGACATGAAAGATCTGGAGTTAGGGTACATTTTTTTCAAATTAAATCAAATCAAATCAAATGTATTTATATAGCACTTTAAAACAACATCCAGCTGACCAAAGCACTTTACACGGCAAAATAAAATCACAATAAATAAATAAAATCAGTGCAAATAAAAATAAAACAGCACAATAACAAACACATAACATACGTTCAATAAATTAAAATTAAGTTAAAAGGAATTAAAAGAAATGCATCAAGCCCTACTGTGTATTACAAGCCAAGCCAAATAAATAGGGTTTAAGCAAGGATTTAAAAGTACTGAGGTCGGTAGCTGACCTAACATTAAAAGGTAGACTATTCCATAATTTAGGTGCTGCAACATTAAAAGCACTGTCACCCCAGCGTTTATATCTGACCCTAGGAACCTCTAAAAGAAACTGGCTTGAAGATCTGAGGGTCCTAGCAGGTTTGTACCAGTGCACTAGTGCATTTTATTGGGAAGTTGGTTCCATGTGTGTGTGCAGAATAGCAGCCAAAAGCATCTTCACCCTGTTTGGTTCTTTAATGCATTTTGTATGCAGTCATATATAATGAAGTGCATTAAGCTTTTTCACATTGTTATGATTTCTGGGTCCTTCTGACAGTCTGGGGACAAGGCAAAACTACATGGGAATAGTTCAAAATAAGACTGATCCTATTTATTACAAGAACACATTTACCTTTATATTACTATTTGTGTTATATTTTACTATGAGCTACAAATGCCCTGCACAAGGGTCTGTGTGGTGCTGCAGCAGAACAGTCTGCTCAGAGGTGACACAATGTTTCTAAAACATTGTAAAAATGATCATTCACTGATACTTCCAGCCCTGTCTACAGGATCTTGACCTCCCGGGAGTTATCCTGCAGTATTCTGAGTGTGATGATGAGTTTGATAGCTTTTCTAAACCAGGGATAGAAAATGGCATAAATCAGAGGGTTGAGACAAGAGTTTAATATTATGAGCCAACACAAGAATGGATAATAGGACAAGCTGCTGGAGGTATCCACACCTGCAAGAATGGGATAATAGTATGGGCAGAAACACATTAGAAACACAACTATCAGAATCCCCAGTGTCCTGGCTGCCTTGGGCTGTGATTTCCTAGCAGTCGGACCTGCTCTTGCCTTGGTAGCAGCAGCCTGTGACTGAATTACACGCATCTGAGAAAGGGCAGCCACAAACACTCTGATATACAGCACAGCCATGACAGTACAGGGCGCAATAAAGGTCATAAACATGTCAATAGTAGCTGAAACTGGGTTTATGACCACCACACACTCCCCATGGCAGGAGCTGTATCTGTCCGGTTGCCCCATATGGTCCATAAGAATTAACCCGGTGTAGATAATTGAACAGGCCCAACAGATACATATACATATTTTAACATTAGTCAGAGTGACCCTGGAGGAGTAGATCAGTGGGTCACAAATAATCAGATAACGGTCAATGGATATGTATACCATGTGTCCCAAAGAGCTAGAGAGCACACAGTACATAAGATAAGGAGACAGAGCACACATGATCCTCCCCAGCAGCCAGCATGATTCAATGTAGCGTAGGCCTTCGACAGGCATCACCAGCAGCCCCACTGCCAGGTCGCACACAGCCATAGACTGGAGCAGAGTGTTGGTCGGAGTGTGGAGCTGCCGGAAGTGGGAGATGGAGAAGATGACAAGCAAATTGAGTGTCACAGTGAGCAGAGAGACAGATGCAACTAGGGTGTAGAGTAGGACAGTCTCAGAGCGTGGTCGCAGCAGACGCCTGCAGGAGGAGTTGAGGTTGGGGAAGCAGAGCTCAGAGCCCCAAGTGTCGTCCATCAGGGAGGAGAGGAGCAGGGCTGAGGTGGTGAACAGTTTATTTATATTACAGCTATACCACCACCCACTCTTTAACACCTCTTGGAGATGATGTAACTTCTTTGCATTCCTTATACTGGTCTACAATCTTTAAAAAGTTTTCTGCATCTGATTTGAAATGTGCATATTATTATGGATTTTGAAGTTATGACCTTTAAAGTCCAGATAAAGTAAAATCAGTGATTTGGTTCTAAACGCATTATCAATGTTAGAAAATATTTGCTGAAAAGGTGAAAAGACTGAGAATGATGTAGGACTGAATTTTAGAGTTAAATGTTTTAATTTTTTGCAGTTCAGGATTTTTTTTGGGCTGTGCAGAAATCATGGATGGATGGAACATCCATAACATAACATAGTTTTGTCATGAGAAAATGTCAGAATATTGTGAAAATAAAGTTGTAATATTCCATGGCCGGGGTATTAACCTTATAATCAAGCTTGTACAATAAGGCCATGTGCTCATGACCTATCATTTATATTGTGCACAGGATTTCATTCTACATCGCATTATGTATTCAGATTTTTGCAGAGTTGGAAAGTAACAAAGTACATTTACTCAATTACAGTACTTTACAGTTTTGAGGTATCTAAACCTTTTTGGGTATTTCCATTTTCTACTACATCATACTTCAACTTCACTTCATTTCAGAGAAAATATTGCACTCTGTAAGCCGCATTTATTTGATAACATTGGTTGCTATTTACTTTTCTAAATCAGATTAATTAAACAAAATAGAGTATAATCATAAATAGTTATTGATCCTCAGTGGAAAATTTAGCAGTATGTGCAGTACTTAAAATTATATAAGGTAGTTAATATTAGCTCCACCTTTAACAGCTGCAACATTAAAAGCAATTTGCACAAAAATACATCAGTAGTTATTCAGTAATGTTATTTAAATGAATGTGAACTGTGCCATTCTAAATAATGAGTACTTATAATTATGGTACTTAAAGTATATTTTAAGTAGCATTTTGAGTGCAGGACTTCTAATAGAGTATTTTTACATTGTGATATTGCTATCTGTACTAAGTAAGCAATCTACACTCCCTGACAAAAGTCTTGTCACCTATCCAAGTTGTAGGAACAACAAATAATAACTTGACTTCTAGTTGATCATTTGAAATCAGAAGTGGCTTATATGAAAGGCAAAGGCCTCTAGATTATGCTTATTTTACCAAAATAAAATTTTATCATTCCTTGATTGGTTGCATTTCAAATGAAGGTTGGGTGTGCTGGAGATCTTCTTATACACACCTGGTATTCTGTCCTCACAGTGGTGTCCCTTATCCAAAGTTAGACAGATGGCGAACAAAAACTCCAACAACTGTGTTCTTGAAAAACGTGTGGCTTTACTGGTTGTTTCTGTAAAACTGAAACGAATACAAAAATAGATATCAGCAACTTACTATGCATGTGCAAGAAATATTGCACACTAATGTACAATGTACATTATACATTACACTTGTGCAACTTTAAATAAACTGGCTCCTACTTATAAGGATAATAAACAAGAATGTATGAGCGCTAAAGGAAAATAAGGCGAGGAAGAGGAGGGTTGTCCAGCGAGGAGGCAGGTCTGTTGATTCGAATGGCGAAGTCACAATCATTTCACATCAACAAATTACCAATGTGTGAAAGACTAAATAATTTTCTAGTGAAAACACTAATACAACAATAATTCCATGTTTTCACTTACAGACATAGCTACTCCAAGGCATAAACATTGGTAAACACCAGTAACACACTGTAGGCTGTCCGTCATTTTACCGAGTGAAAGAAAAACAAAACATATCACCAAACCAACCACTAGGGCGTAATAAATGAACAAGATTTCCAGCACACTCCCCACCTGGTATATTAATAATATACCATTATCCCTGGATCTTTCTTTATTCAGACAAAAGTACAATTACATCAGTAACAAGTCCAAGGTAAGTTCTAGTGGACCCTTGTTTCATTATCTTAACCTCCACCTTTCTCACTCTATCATCACTAAGAATAGCCTTGACAACAAGACCAACCGGCCACTTATTATGCTTGACTTGATGGTCTTTCAATAGGACAACATTGCCCTCTTGAACATTTGGTCTCCCTCCCTTCCATTTTCGTCTTGTCTGTAATGTGGTAAGATACTCTTGCCTCCATCTCCTCCAGAAACAGCCAGCGAGACCTTGAACTTTCTTCCACTGGGCTTTATAGAGGTCCCCGAGTTCGAAGTCTCCAGGAGGCGCTGACACAGCCTTCTGGGTCAGAATCATTGCAGGCGAGAGAACTTCTTAATACCCTGCGCCTTATTGGGAGAGGTGGCGGGTTGGCATCTGTTTTCAAATCGACGTTAAAATGTCGCCTTCTTCCCTCCAACGCCTTCTCCAGTTTTGAGCTACAAACTTTTTTACTAACTTTGCACTGCCCTACTTTATGTGTAGTTATTTATCGGCCTCTGAAATCGAAGGATTTTATTTATGAATTTGGGGAACTTTTGGCAGTTCTTATCCCACAGTATGATTGATTTGATTTGATTTGATTTGATTTATTCTTTCAAACATGTAACGACAGTCAATATGTCAACACACATAATTTCACACATATCCACAAATACATTATCAATTTGTCAATTTGCTTATACCTAGTACATGCTTGAACGGAGTAGGAAGAAGTTAGACTTCTTCTTGTCTGTTGATTTGTGGTCATTTTAATATTCACATTGATTCTTCCTCTGACCAGCTCGCAAACACGTTTAATGCACTGCTGGATTCCTTAACCAGTCAGTTTTATGCCCCACTCATCAACGTGGGGGCATATTAGACCTTGTCATCTCTTGAGGTCTATCTGTCGCCATTAAGGATGTGTCAAATGTGGCCATATCTGACCATTTTTTCATTTGTTTTGAGGTCACTTTACCGACAAGGCTGCCCAGACCGGTGGCCCCCTTTCAACGCCATAGGACTATTGCCCCCTCTACTGCCACAGACTTTGCTGCTGCGTTTGTAGCCTCAGAGCTCTACTCCTCAGAGGATCAGAATCCTCCGGTCTGCCCTGAGGCCTTCCCCTCTTTACTGGATTAGACTTGGGCCTGGATTATGGACTCTGTTGCGCCTTGTAGGACGAGAAGGACTGGCAAGACTCTTGTTCCTTGGCTAATTAACACCACCCAGGCCCTACGGAGGAGCTGCAGGAAGGCTGAGTGAAAATGGAAAAAAGACGGCTTGTACGTCTCTCTAGATATTTTTAGAGGCAGCCTCCTCACCTATCAGGAGGCTGTAAAAAAGGCTAAAACTCTATATTTAGCTAATATTATCGCAGATAACAACCATAACCCAAAAGTCCTTTTTAAAATGATAAACTTGGCTATAAATCCAGTTGGTATCAGTATCAGAGGGATCAGTTTTGCTTTGTAACAAATTTCTGGGATACTTCAGTGAGAAGGTCGAGGCTCTTAGGCAGAATACTTCAAAGCCCCCACCTTATAGACCACCTGTAGCTCATGTTTTACATACTTTAAACTCCTTCACCCTGATCTCTCTGTCTCAATTGAAAGAATGTATGTTACATTTAAATCCTTTCTCTTCTCCTCTTGACCCGCTTCCAGCCAGGTTTACTAAGGAGGTCATTGACACTCTTGGACCTTCCCTGGCCACATTTATTAATCTCATCCTGGGATCAGGCATGGTCCCAACTGCTCTTAAACATGCAATAGTTAGACCGCTCCTCAAAAAACCTAACCTTGACCCTTCCTTATTATTGAATTTTTGCTCAATTTCCCTTCTCCCTTTTATGTCCAAGATTTTGGAAAAAAGCGTTCTTATCCAGCTGCAGTCTCACTTAGAGCGTCTCAATTTTGCTGACAAGTTTCAATCTGGCTTTAAACCCCGCCATAGTACAGAGTCAGCATTACTTAAGATTCACAGCGATATCGCCACGGCCCTTGATGCTAAATGTTCCATTGTTTTAGTTCTCTTGGATTTATCAGCTGCTTTTGATACAGTTGATCATGCGATTTTACTCTCAAAACTCGAACACATCTTTGGGTTGAGAGGCACGGTCTTACACTGGTTTGCCTCATTTTTGACTGGCAGATCCTTCCGTCATCATTAAGATGACTGCTCTTCTAACATAGCCCCCCTCTGGCTTTTTTTTCCAGCCATAATGTTTTTATTTTTATGCGGACGACATCTAGATTTGCATGCCACTGATTGTGTTCGACTTAGATTCACTAACTCTGTTGCATAATTGCATTCGGGACGTCAAGCAATGGCTGGCTCAAAATTTCTTTTACTTAAATGGAAGTAAAACTGAATTTATTCATTTCAGCCCCGATCAGACTGTGGGCACAGCAAGCCTAGATGTCTCGGCCCTCCCACTTTCAGAGATGGTAAAAAACCTTGGATTAATATTTGACAGTGGTTTTACTTTTGATAAGCAGATCAGGGCTGTGGTTAAGACCAGCTTCTTTCATCTAAGGCAAAACCTTTTTTGTCACACGCCGATTTAGAGAAAGCCATCCCTGCTTTTATTACTTCACGGTTGGACTACTGTCATGCACTTTATGTTGGGCTTTGCACCGGCTTTGCTTTGTAAGCTTCAACTAGTCCAAAATGCAGCAGCTCGGCTGTTATTTAACTCTCCTCGGTATGTCTACATCACCCCGGTTCTTTGCTCCTTGCACTGGCTTCCAATTCAGTATAGAGTTAAATTTTACGACGTTGGTGTTTGTTTTTAAGGCTATCCATGGCCTCGCTCCACCATACCTGTCTGACCTGCTGTCAAATTATGTGCCACGTAGAGCCCTTCACTCCTCAGAACACTTGTCTCTAGCTGTCCCGCGTTCTAGATATAAAAAATGGGGTGACCAGCGGTTTGTGGTATATGGCCCCAGACATTTAGGAATTCTCTTCCCTTAGAGGTACGGTCTAAGACTGAGCTAGCGGTTTTCAAGTCGGCCCTAAAACCTTATTTTTTTAAACAGGCTTTTGATGTTTAGGCCGTTTTCACCTCCCCCGTTGTTTACTTTGTTGTTGTCCATCTCTGCGTGGAACTTTTATAATTTTGTTTTGTGTACGTGTGTTTTACTCTGTTTTTTACTGTTTTGATATGGTCTATTATTTTTTAGTATGGTTTTACTTGGCGATGTTTGTTTTACTGTTCAGCACTCTGGGCTCTCGAGTTGTAGAGTGCTATATAAATAAAGTTTATTATTATTATTTACCCTAAAGCAGTAAAACATCTGCTCCACATCCACAGTAACTGTGACTTGTTCTCTTTGAAAGCACAGTAGAACACCAAGCAGTGTATTATTTAAGTCAGGCCCACTAAGTGGAGTGTCATTTAGAGAGATACCTTTGAATGGAGCACTTGAGTCAAACACGCCCCGAATCTTGCCTGGTTTCTGGGGATGGTACACTCCAAATATGGGCAGGTACCAACCCTGTTCACCGAGTTTCAGCGGTGGAGCCATTTCTGCTTGGTCATTGTTATAGATTCTTTTCATAAATTCAATAAACTGTTCTCTCATTTCTCTTTCTTTCTCTAGCGTCCGCTGGACTACATTGAGACACTTCAGAGCCTGTTCCCTGTTGTTTGGAAGAAACGGGCATGGTGTACGAAATGGCAGTGGCACCACCCAGTGGTTATCATTATCCAAGTAGACTTCTCTGTCCATAATCTCAAGAAAGGTTTTGTCCTCAATAGATAGAGCAGGTTTGTCATCATCAGGGTTTCTTTGAAAAACATTGAGCCCAAAACTGTCTGTTTTGAGTGGTGTTACTTCTATGTCACTAAGAGCATATGCTGAGAATGTGTTAATTACAGTATTTGTCACAGGTGATGCTCTAATCTGTGATTGGTTGAATCATTTAAAGATACGTCAAAACCTTTGTCCTTGCAGAAACAGATGTTATGGACTTTACCAAGCTGTGAACATAAGGACACTTTTTGATGGTTTCATTTTGCACCCAGTTATTAATGTGAATGCCCTTGACATTAAAATTAACATTTTATTGTGACAACTGAATGATTAGAAATAAAGTTATATGACATTTTAGGTTACTATGTCCTTATAGGACAAGACTTTTGTTTTTTGGGAGGAGGGGTTCTTAGTGATCATGACAGTGAGGTAATGACAAAATCTACTAGTTTTTATAGTGTAGGCACATGTGATCAAATTAGGATCAAAGACAGACTTTGCTAAAACATTTAAGTCCTAGGTGGTGAAAATTCAAATGCTGAATAATAGTGACACAGACTTGACAGAGCAGCAAAGAAGTCTTCTGATGAGTCCATTCACTTAGACTGTGTACATTTATTATACTATATCACAGTCAACAAGGGTTTTTATTTGAAACATTGTGCGTCTTTATGACAATCTGGGGAAGATAAAAATGAATGAACATAGCAAAAAAGATTTATCCCAGTCATCATGAAAACACATTTGCATTTATTATTTGTATGTGTAATAATATACACAAATGCCCTGCGCAGGGAAAAGTCTAATCAGAGCAGGATAATGTGCTTCACTCAGTACTGAGGTTTGTATTTATGAGAATAAACAGTTTACAACATGGCTCAGTGAGAGAATGAGAATTTCTGTGCATGAGGCCACTGTCGAGAGTCTGTGTGGTGCTGCAGCAGAAGAGTCTGCTCAGAGGTGACAGTATTTCTAAAGTGGTGTAAAAATGAATATTGACTGATACTTCCGGCCCTGTCTACAGGATCTTGACCTCCCGGGAGTTATCCTGCAGTATTCTGAGTGTGATAATGAGTTTGATAGCTTTTCTAAACCAGGGGTAGAATATGGCATAAATCAGAGGGTTTAAACAAGAGTTCATTATTTGCATCCAAACCAATAACACATAATAGGACAAGCTGCTGGAGGTATCCACACCTGCAAGAATAGGATAGTAGTATGGGCAGTAACACATTAGAAACACAAATACCAGAATCCCCAGAGTCCTGGCTGCTTTTATCTGTGGTGTTCTAGCAGTTGGAGCTGCTCTTGCCTTGGTAGCAGCAGCCTGTGACTGAATTACACGCATCTGGGAAACGGCAGCTGCGAACACTTTAGTGTATAGCACAACCATGACAGTACAGGGCGCAATAAAGTTTATAAATAAGTCAATAGTTCCGGCAATCTGGTTGATGACCACCACACACTCCCCATGGCAGGAGCTGTATCTGTCTGGTTGCACTAAGTGGTCTAGTAAAATTAAACCGTTGTAGGTACTTGAACAGGCCCAACAGAGACAGATGCAAATTTTAACGTTAGTCAGAGTGACCTTAGAGGAGTAGCTCAGTGGTTTGCAGATAGTCAGATAACGGTCGATGGATATGAGCACCATGTGGCCCAAAGAAGTAGAGAGCAAAAAGTAAAAAAGATAAGTAGACAAAGCACACATGATCCTCCCCAGCAGCCAACATGACTCAGTGTAGCGGACGCCTTCGACAGGCATCACCAGCAGCCCCACTGCCAGGTCACACACAGCCAGAGACTGGAGCAGAGTGTTGGTCGGGGTGTGGAGCTGCCGGAAGTGGGAGATGGAGATGATGATGAGCAAATTGAGTGTCACATTTACCACAGAGACAGATGCAACTAGGGTGTAGAGTAGAAGAGTCTCAGATCGTGGTCGCAGCAGACGCCTGCAGGAGGAGTTGAGGTTGGGGAACCAGAGCTCAGAGCCCCAAGTGTCATCCATCAGGGAGAAGAGGAGCAGGGCTGAGGTGGTGAGGTTTGTTTTATCTGTTTCTTACACTGCCCTCCCACTTTTTCAAACTGGTAGGACATGGTGTAACATCTATCCCTTGTCATCATTATAATCATTAACATAATCTTTCCTTTTGTAATCTTCCATATTTATTTTTAGTTTTTATTCATGTTTTTTTTTTGCATGTCCCACTTTAACATAAAGCAACTTTAAAAGTTTAATCAGTCTTATATTCCTGTCAAACCAGCCGGCCTGGTTGCTTTATCTTTCTTCATGCAGGAATCCACCTACAGTACACCCTCTTACAGAACAAACAGAATTGTACACTGGAATGACCAAAATAAATTTTTAAGAATTTAACAAGACTCTTCCGCTATCTAACTTCATCCCCAGACCTCCAGAATGAATTAGAAGCTGCCAGGAGAAGTAGCAGAAGAGACCAGGTCTAAACTCCTCTGTTCTCAGGAGGTGGCAGTGCTGATTGTGCTGCGGCCTTCTGGCTTCATCCTGCAAAGCCTTCCTTCATTATATCTTTACTGCAGCCCAGCAACATAGCAGACAAGCTGTAGCTCTTTTTGAAAACCAAGGACCATTAGACATCATCTCCTGCCACCTCTGGGATGAAAAGGTCAGTTCATGTATGTTCAAGCTGTGCTTGTCATGGAGCTGAACTAGAAGAGGGTGACAGTTTGTTATTTTTGATCCCAGAATGTTTGACAACCTCAGTATCATAAAGGTAGTTCTGAAGCGTTCAGATGTATATGAGATTAGTAAAATTAGTACATGGGAACCAAAATTATTCTAACCATCCAGCTACAGTGGATGAAACCCACAGAAGAACAGAAGACTACATGAGTTTAAATAACATTTCTCAGATCTTACTCATGTTTTATTATATTATATAACCTTTATTTAACCAGCAAAACCTGACTGAGATTAAAAATGTCTTTTCCAAGTGTCCTGGCCAAGACAGACAGCAACATCCATCATGACAAGCAATATAGATACAAATAATACAAATAAATCCATAACACCCTCTCATTAGTCAACCAAACAGCTAATAATAAAAATAAATCAAAACTTGAAAAACACTGGCCCAGATACACTAGTTTAGTCAATCTGCCCAAGGAAACTAATGAATGCAAGTTTTCTTAATCATATCTTTATGCAACACTGCCCCCGACTGTATGTTTGTAAAGGGCTTTAAGGAATACATCTGGCCAATAAATATAATTTTTAGTATGGTTTATTTATGACAGCAGTGCTTCCAATATAGTGATAAAGGATATTTTTATAACCTGCTAATGAGAAGTGCATTGGAGGTATATTTAAAATCTGAATAATTTCTTTAATCTATGCTGACACTTGTTAATTTGTCCATATGTACTGATTCAGTAAATAAGCTTCATTAAACCTTATTTTATAGATTTCTACACAAAACATTACTGTCTTCTGCTGTTTAATTAAAATAGTTAGGTTTAAGGTAGGGAACTGTGTCATTTATTACTTTCTGCTTTCACATACAGTATTGCTTTTTCATATGACTGAAAGCTTAATAACCATTTTCTAACCACTATGACACACAGTATAGATACCAGCTTTCATCAAACTCGATTTGACAGTTCTAGGTGAAAGGTTATCCAATCAGAATCGTTGTCCCACCCCCAAGCCCCCCACACTCCCCCC